GGTGTCTTATCCCCTTACTCGCATGACCTAACCCTCCATGACTTCTCTTGGTAATCTAAAGCAAGTAGATACAAATAAATTTCGAGACAGCTTTTCAGCTGCTACTCGTCTTCGCAAGAGATAGATAACGAATGGAGTACGCAACAGTTTCCATTTGCACAGAATCAATACATACCAGCACGGTCATTGTTCAAAGTGGCGAATAGCCAATAATAATATTGTTTTAAATTCGTACCTGAGAAACAATGTTTTAACTTTCTCTTGGTAAGGATGACTTGTATGGTCGGCTAAATAGGACATTGAAAAAGGAACGCTCTGCCGACTTTAAATAGGTAGTTTTGTAGTAATTTTCAGGCAGGATAGTATTCCCGTCTCATAAACCTAGCCATATCATAAAAGTGAGCTGTAAACCTAGCCGTACTTTAAACCTAGATCCTGCATTTAACACGAACCCTCAAAACACGAATCCTCAAAATAATCCTGACTCCAACCTCTAACTTTGACCCCAACCTCAAGCTTGAACCTAACCATAAACTTAACGGTAGCCAGCATCTTAATCCTAAACCCAACTTCCCGGAATTCGACGTAAAATCACATGTATTGTTTAGGCGGTCATAAGCGGCTTCCATACCTATACTATTTTTTTTATTAATATGAAAACACCACTACAACGATCTGATGGCTAGGTAGACCTCTGCACCGGTTTATCAACTTCGGAGTCATACTTTCGTCAGTATTTCCTACGTATGCTAATTTCCTTGGACTGTAGTGCTGTAACCGGCGTTTGAATAATAATATATGTGAACGTAGGCTCACCCTACTTATTTGTTCATTGGTAGCATGAGCTTTAAAGTCAAAGAAAAAAGACGTGGTGACTTTGCACAGTAAAGTTAATGGGCATTTACTTATACTGATAGGGCGTACCATGTAATCGTTGTAATCACGAATGATACGGACACGATTTGAAACCACAGGGCACAGAAGGAAATGCATAAATGAGAATAGTGCGCGATATTACTTGATGGCATTATTGGGGCTCATTTTGCTAGTGTCATGCTGGCAGGCATTATGGGCAATATCCGATGAGGACGTTAGGGTGGTGTTGCGGGCGACCGCCTTCAAGGGATACATTATGGTCGGGGGGAGTTAATTTCAGGTCATGGGGAGGCAGGGTAGTTTTATTTAAGTCCAACTTTCGCCTCTGAGTTCTCTACATTGGCCCCCAGAAGCAAGGTCGAAAGTGCTTGTTCCCTGCTGCAATCAGATTTGGGAGTTGTCACTACCATGGGGTTTTCCATACTCGACACTGGCTGACGGCCAAC